TGGAGACCCCTGACTTAGAACTAATTTTTACATCTGGAGAAATCAATGAACGGAATGAGACATCCAAGAAAAGACACACAGGCTCAACCCTGACACTGCACGATGGATGGCTGCATCTATCCATTAAACAAATCAAACAGCTGTGATTATTTATGAGAGGTAAGAACCGCTGCACGACTAACTCTGACCTCACAGGATTACTTGTCTTGATTTAATCGTATTTCACTGTCAGGCTGTGCAGCAGCTATGCAGGTTTCAAAGGGGAGACAGCCTTGCCGAATTGCGGTTTCTCAACTGTGGCAGCTATAAGATTGGTGGGCTTCAACTCTCAGAATTCCCCAGGGACCACATCTGGACATCAATATGCTGGCTGGAGAATTCCAGGAGTTGAAGTTCATATACCGGTTGTCCTCGATTTACAACAGATGGCAAAAGAAAGAAAGACCGCCCCAAATGAAGCCCACCTCAAGTTAATACTTAATTTTACATATAACAGCAGCTAGAATCACATATGCACAAAATTGGAAAAATGAAAGTATTTCCACAGATGAGAAGGAACTAAAAAAACATACAAGAATGTCCTGAACTGGACAAGATTAACAATGGAACTTAAAAACAAAGAGGAAGCAGAATACTACTTAACATGGGATGTATTGTATAAATGGTTAAATAACAGGTGCAGAGGTTAGTACTTAACAGCAAAAGAAGATTAACAAAATAGAAATAAATAGAGATGTATAGAAATATATAAGAACACACAATGTAAGCAATATCACTATCAGACTGTACGTGAATATAGTTTAAAGTGTATAGAGTGATAGTGTGGTACAACTATGAAAATAATAGTTATGAGGTACAAAACTATGTATTTAAAAGCGACTATGAGAATAATAGTTATAACCAAGGTGTATGCTATGTTGTTATTTTAAAAGGACTTGATATAGCCAGTACACTGTCATTACAATGTACAATAAAAATATTTTTAAAAAAACAGTTGAGGTCTCTAACACAAACAGCACATAATTGATTTCTGAAGATTGTTGTGAAATCTAGTATATCCATAGGATACAAATAAACTTAAAGCATTAAAAAAAAAAAGTAACTGAGCCAACCTGGGCAAGGCCAGTGGTGTAGACTAAACAGGAAGTAAAAACAGCATCCTGAATGAATGGAGTATTTCATGGACACATCCGTGTACCAAACAGGATCTGAGCCAACTCACCTTTTTGCAGAAAGCAAATATTAAATCCCATCCTCCCCCTACTCCTTGTTGGAATGCAGTTATGGGGCAGGAAAGGAGCTCCTGAATTCACGGCCCCCGCATTTATATGGAAGGCTGATCTACAACAATGCTTCAGTAAGGAACCAGAGTGAAAGAAACTTGTATTTAATAAATAAGCTAAGAAATTTAAATAAATAGCACCATTACTCCTAGTAGTAGTCAGAACAGCTATTGGGATAGGCAGGATAGATCATAAAATCCTAGGTCTTCCCATCCAAGGCAGGAGATCTTACTTCCATCCCAGACAAATGTCTACCCAGTCTTTTCTTGGAAGACCTCCAGCCATGGAGCTCCCAGGGAACCTGTTGTAAAAATTTAAAAATTGCAAAGAGGAGTTCCATCGTTCCTTTCTATTTTTTTTTGCTAAGATGAAAAATCACCGCTCCTTTTAGATCCCACATCTTCCCCTAATCAATTAGCCATCGCAGGGAATTCCTCCCAAATTCTGCCCTCTCTTATTTCAGCCCCCCATGAGGGTTGAATAACACTCCCAAAAAAATCATCCCACCTTTAACACAGAAACAGCAGTGATGATGCTTTGACTAGCAACATGCAGTGACCTTGTAAGATTTATTGCCCCTTCCCAATAATTTAAACCAGCTAAGACAATAATCTCATAAAGTGGCGGTCAGCATTCGAAAATGCCATCCAGAGCATATTTAGTGACAATATCATTATTAGAAGTCGTAAGGCAGCACCAAGCTGGGCTTCTGGTTCAGAGGAGACAAAGCCCATCGCTCAGTTCCATTTTGACAGTAGCAGCAGGGCTTAAAATGTATTTATTTATATGTATTTATTTACCTAAAACATTTATGCAGCCACCCATCTTATATTGACCATTTTCACCGAACTCAGCAAAATGCATCATGCTGTCCCAAGAGAAGGAAAATAATAGCAATAAAAATAAATCCACATTGGATTTTTTGGATACCTCGCCACCATTCTATTTTTGGTCTTGCCCAAAATATCCAAATTGCTTTAATGTTATTCAAATGTATTTAAAAGGGAGGCAAAGTACAGGCTGCCATAGAACCGGCAATCCCTACAATGCATTTGAAGGCACAATGACAGTCTACTCATAGCGAATTATTTATAGCATCAACTGCCTTTTCTATTGTTAGCATTCTCACGAGTTGCCCTGGGAAATCACTAATTCAGCCCTCTCTCTCTCTCACACACACACATACACACTTGGAAAACACACACAATTAAACCCAGAACCTGGCTTTGGCTTAGCTTCATCATGGGGGAGAGGAGGGGAGGGGCCACCTGCCATCTTAGGGACTCAGCATACCTGGCTGAGTGACGTGTAAAGGTATTGGGTGACAATCGTGGTTTATAGCTCAGCGATGTGCGAATCCAGGCTTTTTCAACCAAACAGGTAATCTGTCGTGCCCTGTTGGCTGTGGAGGAAACTGGGGGTCATGCTTCAAAAACCATTGTAGTAATGGAGACTCCCCAAATAAGCCACAATGATTTGGGTTTATTTCATCCCTTTAAGCCAGGGGTCCCCAAACCTGGCCCTTTTAAGACTTGTGGACTTCAACTCCCAGAATTCCCCAGCCAGCTTCGCTTTATTAGGGGCTCAGGGCCCCATTAGAGCTGTTTCCACCATCCGTTACAGATAAAGGGGACCAACTTGGGGGGGGCAGCCTTGGGGCAGGTGTGTGTGGCAGTGCCAGGTAACCTAAGGGCAGCTTTCAGGGTGCACACACACACACACACACACACAAAACTGCCTGCAGGGATACTTGCTGACAAGCGGAGCACAAATGGATTTGCTGGGCCTGAAGTGATATTATTTTAATTTCTTTTATCTTGCACTTGCCCTGCCCAGAGTTTTTCTCTCTCTCTCTCTGTATCACACCTGGCTTGGGAAGTCTTCTCAGAATTCCCGCACAGCCTGAGTGAAAGCCAGGTAAGAGCCATCCATCCTGGTTTGTTAGCCCGGGACCTCCTGCACCCAGCCATTTGCACAGACACCTTCCCCTGGTTTCAGGTCCCATTCCTTCCACTTGTACGATCCCACCAATTGTCTAACAACGCACAAGGGGGTGTCCAGGGCACAAATTGTGCCTCTGGAAGCCAACCTCTTGAGGTGTCAACATGCTAACACAATGATGCTTCCCATTCACCTTGTCCTGCATGCATGCACACACACACACACCTGCAGCCCACCCATTCATCTCGTCCTGCATGCAAGCATGCATGCACACACCTGCGGCTCATCCATTCACCTTCTCCTGCATGCATGCACACACCTGCAGCCCACCCACCAACGACCCCTCCCAGCTCTTCCTCCCACACCTGCCATGGTCTCCATCAGGGAGCGAGGGGGGCACCAGGCCTAGTGTGCCTATTAGAGGATGATGGTTTCCTAAACTTGTATGCCACTTGCTTGACTCGAGTGGCTCCAGCATCCAACCAGCCCCCATAAAATCAATCCAAGGTTTAAAATGGGGGGGGGGGGCTGAAGCCTGGGGTCTCCCCCTGCCTCGCATGTGGGGGCAGAAAAAGGGTCTCCGGTGCTCTTTTTAAAGCACAGCCAAGTGGGGAGGTGCTCAATGATATGTGATATATGGTATATATGGTATATATACAATATATAGCATCCATGCAGACAGACAGAGAGAGAGAGAGCAGGCATCAGCCATTCAATGACACCCCCCCCTCAGGCTACGTTCACAAGACCGGCTCAGCCCAGGTTAAGGATCCTGGGAGATCTCCTTTTCCCCCTCCCCAGCCAACTCAGCAGGGAGAGCAAACCCGGATCTTTTCAGAGCATTCAGACGTGCGGGGGGGGGGAAACCTGGGTGGCCCAAGGCTTCGGAAGGGCCGCCGTTCTGCTAAACACCCCCCCCTCCGGGTCGGAGCAAAACCCGCCAGGGTCATAAATGGGACCCCTAGAGATCATCTGGGGGGGCTCCCCCCCCCCAGCCAGAGCCTCCCAGACACGCGTGTCGGACGGTTCCCACGTTCCCGGAGACCCTTTTCCCCCAGAAATTGGGGGGGTTCCCCCAACCTCCAGACCGAGCCGAAGGAGCAGCGCTCTGCACATGCCCCGGAGCCAGGGCGCGCTTGGCCCAAGGGTCCTCCCTCCCCACGGGGACTAAACCGTCCCCCCACCCACCCCGCCGTCCGTCCCCCGCTGAGGGCACTCTGCACACGCTCGGGAGACTCACCACACATGGCGCCCCCGTCGCTGCTGCGGCTGCGGCTGCTGAGGCTGCTGCTCTTCCTCTTGCCAGGCGGCGGGTCTGCGGCTGCCGGGGAGCGGCGCGGGGCGCATGCGTCAAGGCCGCGCCACCGTTGGCTCGCGCGGCGGAGAGGCGGGGCCCGGCGCGAAGCCCCGCCCAGGCCTGGCTGGCCCTGGGGACGTGGCAGCCGGACCGCGTGTGAGGTGAGCGGGCGAGAGCCGGAGAGCGAGAGAGCCTCCCTGGGCGGGCGCAGTCTGCCTCGGAAGCCGGGGCGCGCCGCTGCTTCCTGGGCGGGTGGGGGCTTTCCCCGGCTTGGAAGAGGGGAGGACCAGGGGGAGGTGGGAGGGCCGAAGCCTGCGCCCGGGAAGGGAGACCACGGGGTGATCCCAGGGCGGCGGGGAGGATGAACCGGGGAAAAGGCCGCCCGCCTCGCTCCTGCCTGCAAGCCCCGGGGTCAAGTTGGGCTCCTCGGGAGGCTAAAGAGGGCTGCTGCTGCTGCTATTATTATTATTATTATTGTTATTATTATTATTATTATTATTATTATTGTTATTATTATTATTATTATTTATCATCATCATCATCACTACTTTATTTTAGTTTAATTTTGTTTTACGTTGAGGAGGGGGCGCGGGGTTCGACGATGCATTGAAAGAAGAGATTGCAGAGTTTGTTTGAAATGCTGCAGGGCTTCCTGCTTGATCAGGGGGTTGGACTAGAAGACCTCCAAGGTCCCTTCCAGCTCCAGTTCTGTTCTTATTCTTTACCCTATTCTAATCCCCACCGTAAAATATATGCAGGACCCTGGAGTTCTCCTCCCTTCCCATTTCTCAGGCCTTCTGAACTTCCCCAGCGGCTGCCACCATGTTCATCCAAGGGACCTTTCTCCTTTTTCCTTCTTCTGCCCTCCCGCCACTTCAAAAAAAACCACACACAAACACACACACGTACACACACACACACAAACTAGTCCGGCCAGTCCTTTAAAGGCTGATGCGGGATGGCCTATGTGCTGGGCAACTGGCCTGAGGCGGATGGCAGCTGACCCAACCGGAGCAATCCAAAGTGGACGGAGAACCAACCCTTTTGGGGAGGTGGGCAGTGAGTTCCCCACCCAGGAGGAAAAGTTTGCTTCGGTGGCCTGGACTGGACGTAGCGCCCGGACAGGCCGGCAGCCCGCTAGAAAAAACGAGGACCAGGGGGCTGGCTCCTGTAGTTGTCAGCAATTTCTTTTATTATCTTTTCCTTATTTGATTTTATTGATCTGATTTATCTATCGATCGCTTACAACGGAGGTCCCCAAACTTGGCAACTTTCAAGACTTGTGGACTTCAACTCCCAGCACTGGAATGAGAGTCGAAGTCCACAAGTCTTAAAAGTTGCCAAGTTTGGAGACCCCATTGCTTACAAGAAGAATAGAAGAATAAACATGAGTAGGAATACAGAAAATAAGGATGAGTAAATGGGGACAATAGGACAGGGACGGTAGGCACGTTGGTGCGCTTATGCACGGCCCTTGCAGACTTTTTAGGAATGGGATGAGGTCAATCGTGGTTAGTTTGAGGTTAAAGGAGTGGGGGGGGGGGTTGGTTAGAGGATGCGACAACAGAGTCAGGTAGTGTGTTCCAGGCACTGACCCCTCTGTGGCTGAAGTCGCACTTTGGAATTGTTGAATACAACAACTCTTTGCCACTGTGAGAGGTTTTTCTTTATTTATTCGAATGTTGAAGCAATCTTATCCATCCAACATCAAATCTAAATTTCGGAATGGGAGACAAGGGCTGCCTGGGATTTATATCACTTGTGAATCGACTCTCAAAGATCCGCTTCTTGCTTTCTCCGAGCTCCCTTTCCGGATCAGATACTGGTTCCGCCACCCACCTCTGCCCCTGAAACCTCCCTCAAAATTGCAACGCCCACAAGCAAACCCTGCCCAAGTGTGAAGAGATTGGTAACTGCAGGAATCGCAGACCAGTTACCTGTGTCCCAAAGGTGCTTTTTTGGCGGGTTTTTTTCAAGAGGCAACTGGACTTTCTGGTTTTGCTTTGAAGACATTTCGCTTCTCATCCCAGAAGCTTCATCCGTTCTGAAGGAAGGGAAATTCTTCATTCAGAGCTGAAGAAGCTTCTTGGATGAGAAGCGAAACGTCTTCAAAGAAAAAAACAAGAAAGTGAAAAAAAGCACCTTCGAAAAAAAGCACCTTTAGGGACAACCTGGACTTGGATGACAGAGAATCTCCGTAGACTCTTACCTGCGTCAAAGGTGACACAAGTTTTGGGTGACACACTAGCATTCAGCACCCAACAACTCTTCTCGACAGCACGCCCCATTCTCACGTGTTCCTTTTTGGGGTTGTGGAAGCTGTGCAAGAATGGGGTTGCAGCCTCAACCCTCCCAAAAATTAAGTGTTTTACCCGTATTTCAGTCTTGTGATTATTTAGCGTTTCTTCCATGAAGCATAGGTCATAGATTTTTTTTACAAAAATAAATGAGTATGTAAACAATTGTTCCTCTTGTTCCGGGGAGGAGGAGAGTGATGCTGGCATAAATCAAATTAGCCATTTCCCAAATTTTTGATATGTGGAGCTCAGTTTTCTTCAGCCGGCCTTGGCCTGCATCAGCTGTCAACCTTCCAGGGAACGCTGTGGCGATCCGTTCCCACACCTCTTGGCGAAGGTTGAATTATTCCAGTAATGCTTCAAGTATCGTTTTTCCTCCCCCTGCCATCACAAAGGTTTCATTTACTGATTGTATCACGTGGGGCACGACGTGCCTTGGGCAGAAGCAGAGATGTTTACGGGAGAGCTGTTTTTTTCAGAAATTCTCTTTGAGAAGAAGGTTCAAGGTTAAAAACAATGAAGCCGTCTCCCAGACAAGAAGGGGATTCTCCCCACCTCTCACTCTCCCCGGGGGCTTTGAATACAACGTCACCTGTCACAGGGCAATGAAGGCACAGTAGCCCCAGGGACACCATTGGTGTTATTAAAGCCCTTCAGGCCAGCCTTCGCACTTGCGACCAATTTTACCTGCACAGAGGGACACACATCCCAGTTAACCCAACGCCAGCCGTCTTTTTTAATTTGTAGATTGCACAGGACTCCATCCTATGGGGCGAGTACAGGATGGCACTGGCGCCAGGAAAAGGCAGCAGCACAATTTTAAACCTAAGTTTGAGCCATGTTGTGCCTTCCTTCACAATGTGCGGGCCAAGTTCTAGAACGAGGGTCTCCAAACTTGGCCACTGGAAGACTTGTGGAGTTCAGTTCCCAGCTATGTGGCTGGAGAATTCTGGGAGTTGGAAGTCCACAAGTCTTCCAGTGGCCAAGTTTGGAGACCCTCGTTCTGGAATGACCACATTCAGAATTGCATCCCAATTGCTTTCATTTAAACTGATTTTAAACCTTTGAAATCAGCCGCCTGAAACCTTCCAGGATCCTTAACTGGAATGTCACCTTGCAAGGGACGTGTCTGAGCTGCCTTGCTTTGCGACGAAAGGAGCTAGTTCACTCCCAAGTTTATGCCACGTTGTTCTTCTCTTTTCCAGAAACGGACGGAAGCAGCACATCAAACCGCCCTAAGCCTCCCCCTCGCGCGGTGGCCTGTACATTGGGGGGCGCAGGGGGCTGTTCAGCTCAACCTCTGGTAACTTCGCTGGACGGATGCTGTGCAGAGATAATTTGTCTTCCGCCCAGCGTTCCTTCGACTTTGCAGAGGGGGAGGAAAGGCAGATTTCCACAGGAAAAAAATCACCCACTTGGCCATCTTTGAACCCCAAACACGGCGCAGGACGGAACTGATCCGTCTTGGTGAATGGAACCGAACCGAGTCGGGTGACTGGAACCGTGCAGAAGAGAGATCGAGTTGTAGCGCCAGGGAAGGGATGACTTTTTCTCCGGGAAATAGAAGTCGCTCTACTATACTAGGCGGGGTATTGTGGCACTGAAGAGGTGTCTTATTCCTAAAGAACAAGGAAATAGAAACTAGAAGATAAAAGAAAACTAAAGATTAAAAAAAAAAAGAATTGGGATTGCACCATCTGTAAAGTTGGGAGTATGGGGTCATTCCATCTGTTGGTTAGGAAAAGTGGAAGTTTGACGGTATTTACAACACCGTTGAGTGAGAAAAATATTCTTCATAGAACCCTCACTATTTCTTTGCCTTTTTATAAGAAAAAAAGAACAGAGTATGAAAATATGGACCTCCCAAAATATGGAAATTTGATCAATGACCTCACTTCGGGCCAGGGTCGATCGGACAGGCCCAGACTGTGGGATGAAGGGTGCCAGAACAAACCTCCAGCTCATAAACCAGAAGCAAAACTTCTTAAGAACCGGGTTCCCTTAATGAATCCCAGGAAGAGCCCCCAGCAGCAGGAAATTCCCCAGGGGCTGCCCTTGCAAATTGCTTTGCAAAAGAACCGCTGGGCCAGTGTGACCTCTGTTCTGCACCAGACCATGCCCGCGGAACAGGCCTTTTACCTGGAGAGGTGGAAACAGCGAATGATTCTAAAACTTGGGAAAGAAGGCTTTGAAGAATACGTTAAAAATACTTTTCAAAAGGGCAAGAACTTCCACGCGGCCATGGAAGCCTTACTGTTAGCTAAAGGAAACGTGGTCAAGGAACAGGAAGAAGACCCCAGCATCTCAGGCTACGTACGGAGCGTAAAGCATGCGCTGCAAGATATTACTAGAGTCAGAGCTCTTGAAAGTGCAGTACAACATGAGGCTCTTTACTACCAAGGCCTAGCGGATTGCATAGCAGACTATCGCGGACAGTTATGTCTAATTGACTGGAAGACTTCGGAGAAACCAAAGCCATTTCTTCAAAATACGTATGATAATCCACTACAAATTGCAGCGTACATAGGAGCAATTAATCATGACAGAAACTATGACTTCCAGGTTAATTGTGGCTTGCTTGTGGTTGCCTATAATGATGGTTCTCCTGCACATTCACATTTTATGAGCTTTGAGTTGTGCTCCCAGTACTGGGACAAATGGCTGCTTCGCTTGGAAGAGTTTAAAGAGAAAAGAAAGGATAATGTTACCCAAATAACTTCATCATAATGCTTACTGACATTCCAGAACAAAATAAAAAATTGGTTTTTGTATAAGATGAGCAGGCAAAGGAAGGAGAAAGAAAAGAAAAAGAAAATTCAGTTCATTTGCTTGCTTATATGAATCACACCACTTGAATTATGAATTAGCAATTTTTCAATTTTCCATGCTATATGAAAGCACTGGGTTGTTAACTGTGGATTATATGTGGATTGCAATTCCATGGATACATAAGAAAAAGGCAGACTGTAAAATCTTGGATTTATTTTTAGCTATTTTATTTGCTTCAGGGTGGAAAATGGACACTTTGAAAGTATTTCTATAATACAAGAAAATATTACATTTGAGAAACGTAGAGGACAGGTTCCTGTTTTCTCGATGCAGAATAGGTATAACTTGTTACAAAGAAAGGCAAAAAAAAATGTAAGTTTTTCATTTCAGATTGCTTTGCCTATTCTGCAATTCTGTATAAATCATGGGATAGGATAGTGAGTACAAAATCCACTTCCCAGAAAGCTTAATTTTGGCATGTTTTTTCATTTCTGGAAGGAAATTTATAATTGAGAAATCCATATCAGACTCCCAGGCTCTGGAAGGAAATAGTGGACGATATAAATATGACTATGCAATAAAAGCTAACATTTTCATAAAAGAAAAGGAAAAAACCTCCCGTGTCTCTTTTTCAAAACCCCAATTTGGCAATGGCAGAGTCAGCCTATCCCCCTCAATGGCTCCCACCGATCCACAAGACTTGTTTCGGTCCTTGAGGACTGGTTAGGAAGAATGGCAAGGCCCTTTTCCTCAAAAGCTATGCATCCCACCTTCAGGCTAAGCCATCTTTAAAACTGTCCTCCAAAAATGATCTCCTCTTTAAAAGAGACCCAGCTCGTCATTTCATGCATTTCCTCTAAAACAGGGGTCTCCAACCGTGGCCACTTTAAGCCTGGTGGACATCAACTCCCAGAGCTCCCCAGCCAGCAAAGTTGACGTCCTCCAGGCTTAAAGTGGCCAAGGTTGGAGACCCCCTGCTCTAAAACATAAATGCACTCAAGTGGACTTTTATTGGACCACAACACACTTCAATTATCTTCTTACAATCACAGCATCTACGAACACCTCGCTTGCAAATGTTTTTCTGGAGAAGTTCCACTTCACACACGAGATCCTCATTCTACATCCAAAGCGTGATTAGCTCAGGTCCAAACACAAAAAAATCCTAGCCCAATTTTTTAAAAAATAGATTACCGAGAAGTATAGCGAAGTCTGCTGAATTTTGGAACAAAGGGTTACCAGATAGTTTCTATGCAAATAAGGTCAATGTCAGTGGTATTGCTAATATTTTACTGAACCTATGGGCATTTTTTTTTAAAAAAAATGAAAAGTACAAATTGAAGCCTCCCGATGAGAGCGTAATTTAAAATAATTATTCTTGGAATCTAAGTAGCAGGGGGAAAGTTTGGTTTTTTTAAAAAATGCAGTGCTCTATGACCAGATCATCTCCAGAAGTGACCACATGTCAATGAGACAAGACAGCCTGCCAAATAAATAGATAATTGACATTCAATAAGATAATTGGAGATACTTCAATAAAATATTTGAATCCAAGGGAGGAAGAAAGTATTTGGGAAACTGTTAGGAACATGCCTATTCTGGGCGCTTTCCTCTTTTTTGTTCATGTAAAGCAAAGATGGGCCACCTTCTTCTTATTCGCTTGCTTTCTTATACAGTGGAACAAAAATAGAATTGGCCCAGTGAAGAAATCGCATTTGGGCCAATTGAGACAAACCCACCAGGCACATAATTTCTGGCCGTAGTCCGGGGCTCTTCCGTGATTCAGGTTGACTTCACTTCTTTTTCTTCGTTGTCATCCACAACCTGAAAAAGAAAGAGGCAGGTCGGAAGTTACACCAAGGCTATCGGTGGGGCCCAGCATTGAAAACCAAGCCTGGGAAGCTAGGACATCTTTTAAAACGGGTCACCAAACTTGGCAACTTTAAGACTTGTGGACTTCCAACTCCCAGAATTCTCCAGCCAGCTGGCTGGAGAATTCTGGAAGTTGGAAGTCCACAAGTCTTAAAGTTGCCAAGTTTGGAAGAGCTCTGTTTTAAAATAACCACAGCATCCCTCTTGTGGTGATAGTGCAGGCCAAATCTGTTCAGAAAATTCTGAGTCGATAAAATATCCAGAAGGAAACCCTGAATATACCCGGCACCAACCCCGATCCTTTTAAACAGGTAAGACGTCAATCCCTCTTTTAATGTTTTGCCCACGCTGTGATCGTATGTGGGGAGGGGGAAGAGGAACATGGAGAAGACAGGGTGGGGCACAGCTCGTGCCTCCCCAAAGGGGCTTACCTGCTCCACACCTTCCACCTCTGGAATATAGAACTGCAACATGTTTTGAATGCCGCTCTTCAAGGTGACGATGGAACTGGGGCAGCTGGTGCATGATCCCTGCAGCTTCAGCTGCACGATCCCGTCTTCAAAGCCCTTGAAGATGACATCGCCCCCGTCCTCCTGGACCGTTGGCCTGAGGAATGTTAAGCCAGACGCTGTTCTGAGCCAGGCTTCGTCAAACGTAATGGAGCACAAACTTGTTTCGAAAGCAAAACCTATTGTATTGCAAGGCTGGGAATTGTTTCCATTCCCAGCCGGAATTAATCTCAAATAGTTCCCCAAGATAAGCACCCGCCTTTCAGTTTTGTGGAAGGCTGCCAAAAACAGAAGTATCCCATTAACTATAAAAGAAACCAACCGAAGTACAAGAAAAAAAAGCCAACTAAAATACGCGGAGCTTCAAGGAGGACTCGGAACCGATCGAACGACTTTGCTTCCTGCAAAAGTTTCGTCCTCTTGGCCTGACTTTTATCCCTTATGGGGGAAGGGAAATCACCTCCCAGCCTTACTCCCGAGTCGCGCCTTTTGCTTCAGCTGCTCTCGCCTTCTAGCAGCTCTGCGTGCGCGCACACACTGGGAACAGGCTCCCCTCGTTCCTCTGCCTCACTGCTGCCAGACTCCGAAGGCTCCGGAGTCAGCACCCCACTCCCAGATGGTCCTGGTCCCATCTTTGTATCGGATGCAGGATCCTTGTCCGAGTCCTCTCCAGACTCCCTGACGGGTCCCCGTTCTTCCCCACTGTCCGATTCTGCTGTTAGCTATGCCGGCTGCCGGCGAACCACAACAGAGGCACAGACTCATAGCTGCAGGCCTGCGATGGGCGAAATAGCACCACGGGCAGCAAATCCTCAAAATGTCTGCAATAACATCTCCAAGTAAAGCTCAGATTCTCAGCCCACGCAGGGACCTCTCTTCTCTCTCCTCTTTTTTTTTCCCCCATACCCATCTCTCTACCTTCCACGTGGCACTGCTGATTCCCGGAGCAGCCTGGAGCTCCACTTCTCTTTGCGTTAGCAACGTTTTCCCTAAGACACGGATACCCTTGTTTACCCCAGAGCAACTTCTCAGCCACGTGGCCCTTGATGAGGAAAGAATCTGGCAAAAGACAGCCAGGCAAACTTAAACCAGCCTGCATCAACGTGCCAGGTTTGCACTGTTTACTGCGTCCTGTCAGTGCCAATTGGGAGGAGATGGCCTGGAGAGTACGCAGTGGTTCCTCTCCCGGTCCCCCTCCCTCCTACTCTGGCTCTGGGACTGTCACTGCAACAGACGAAAAGGATCCTACTGACCCACATTAGAAAAATGCGCCGGATTGAATTCTGTAACTAAGAAACAATAACTTTTCAGCTTTGTTTTGCCGTTTCCCTTCATTCCTTCAATCCTGAAGGAGCTTCTTGGATGAGAAGTGAAATGTTTTCAAGGCAAAAAAATAAAACCCTAAGAAAGTCCAATTGCCTTTTGGGAAAAGCACTTTTGCCCCTTCATTCCAATCCTTTTACAGCAACATAAAGAACCGTCTTTCTGCCTGGCCCATTCAGGGACAGCAAAACTCCATCTTCGTTCAAGCTTCACTTTTCCCCCCGCCACCCCTGAAAACTGAAATATGGGAAAGGCCCGAATCCCAGAGGACAGATTTCTTTCCAATGTGTGAAACGAATGCAAACATTGTTAACTTCTTTATACACGGGATCTTTTGATACCCGTTTGTGTCTGCAGCGGATTCGTAGATGAACTTGGCAGAGCTCATATTTACCTCTGTTTTTGATCACTTGCTAATCCCCAAAGTATCATCTCAGCTGTCAAAAATTGAAGAATGAACACAGAGGGTTTAACGCGATTAATACTCCTTTAAGAAAGCAGTAACTCCACTGCAATGAAAGAGGCAAAGGTTTCTCTGGCCCTTGAAAGTAATAGTGAACATCCTGTTTGGCCCACTAGCACATTTTAAAATCCTGGAAGGGCTCCAGGATGAATATTGACAGAAGTACCAGAATGTGAACCCTGTTTCAAGAATTCTCTCCGATGATCTTTGGGTTAGCTTTTTGCTGAACAGAAGCAATTTACCTGAAAATCTGGGACTTGAGTAATAAGGGTGAACATGTAAGGACAGCAACATTTATTATATTACATTTATAGCTCTCAAATACAATGGTAACTCTGCAAAGCAGACACTATTCAAAGTTTTAAAAAATACGCTACAAAGAGAAAATGTCTGGGGAAAATAAAATAATTTTGCAAAGCGAACAGCCCACTCTAGCCCACAAGTCTTAAGGTTACCAAGTTTGGAGACCTCTGTCTTAGAGATCTCCTGGTCCGCAGGCAGGCATCAGTGATGCACCAGACCAGGGATCTCCAAACTCTGTAACTTTAAGACTTGTGGACTTCGACTCCCAGAATTCCCCAGCCGGCATAAACACCACTTTATATGCCAAGCACACGCAGCAGACAAATTTACCTGATTCTGGTATCCAGCAGCTCTTTTATCATTAGTACCACTTCATCGTCTTCTTCAGACGGGGCTGAAACAATAAATCACGGTTATCTCGTTGGGCAAAGAGGAATTAAAAGACAGGTTGTCTTCAACTTACAACCCCAAATGCATGTTGCTAAGTGAGACAGTTCAGTGAGTTCTGCCCCATGATGTAACCTCAGTTGTTAAGGGAATCAGTGCAGAGGTTATGTCAGTAACATGGCTGTTCGGTGAATCTGGCTTCCTGACCGACTTCGCTTGTCAGAAGGTCACAGATGTGGATCCTATGAGCCCCGGGACCCTGCGACCGTTGTAAATATGAACCAGCTGCAAAGCATCTTGAGTTTTGACCTCATGACCGTCCCTTTCACCAGTGCCATTGTGACTTTGAACTATCACTAAACCAGGGGTTGGATAACCCTGGTCCTGCCTGGCCCTATAGAACCGGGAGCTCTGAAGAGCAGCAGGCACCAAACCGATTCTGTGTTTGCTGCTGTTTGGCCCACCTGGGCTCTTACCTGTCCTTTATTTCCTGCTTTTTCAACCTCATCTGCTTTGCATGGCACAGCTGCGGTTGAAAAAGCAGGAAAAAAGTGGCTTTTCAAATGCTGCGCAGCCGTACGCAGCGCCTTCCAGCTGTCCAGGCGGCACAGCTTCAGGGTTTTTACATACGCGCATACAGCAAAACGTGTCAGTGAACAGGTAGTAACACCAGTTGAATCCCACCGCTGCACTAAACAAAATGCTTGTAAGCCAGGAACTACCTGTACTACCTAATCCAAATACATCTGGCAAATATAGTTAGTCAACGCACTGCAGAAAGTGCCAAAGACGCAACCAGGACGAGCTTCACGCCCTCCTTACAACTTGGAGTAGGGGACAGGCCCAGGGGTGGGATTCAACTGGTGTTACTACCGGTTCGGTGACTATGTTTTCGGTGACTCTCTTAAATGTGAAAATAACAGCCACTGTCAAATGACACACTTTCGGTCAAATCCTGTATAATTTAAATAAGGATCTTATAATGCAAGCCACAGAATTGCAATGAATGACACACTTTGGATTTAATGAATAACAGGGACACCCCTCACCCAACGGCCTCTTAAATTGAGGAGTTGAAGTCCACAAGTCTTAAAGTGGCCTAGGTTGGAGACCCCTGTCCTAGAGAGCCCACCTCTGCAAGATGACAGGTGGAGGGAGTGGAAGTTCCGCACGGGCAGAGCCCAAAGGAGGTCCCTGTACCTGTGTCTGTACGAGGCGCCTCTTCGGTAACAATAGGCAAGCCCGACGCATAGAAGTCCATAACAGTTGCATAAATATCGGGCTTTATTAAGTTCCAGTCCACCTCCTCACTTTCCTAGGAAGATTTTAAAAAAAGAAAAAGACCATAAACAGGGAGGAAGATCATTGCTGGATTCCTATTCCTGGACTCACCACCCTCACCTAAACTTCTGGGATTCTTACTACCGCTGGCAGGTCAAACTCTGCAGGAGCTTGTCTCTGGGCACAGAAGGTTTCCGCAGTCGGCAAGTAGGATTGGTAAACGGGGCCTACTTGTTCAATAGTCAAAAGGAGACTGCTATTTTTCATCAATTATGTCAGGAAACCCCTCAGAAAGGGAAGAGGTACGTATCCCTCTTAGATCTCAAGTGGCTCCACTCATCCCTGTCTGATACATGTCAGAACTAACGTCAATCAATGACATGTCAGAACTAACGTCAATCAATGCAACGGGAAGACATGAAAACTAATCTTATGAATGTTCAAACTCTTGCAAATGGACCTCATAGGCAGTCCAATTTCAAATGGTGGCAGGGGGAGAAAGAGAGAGAGAGAGAGAGAAATATTACCTTCCGCCATAGCAGAACAAACATTTGTCAAATGTTACACAATCTGTTTGTGTCCCCTTTCAATTCAAGCCCAGCAGACCAACACAGAAAAAAGTTAAAAGCCTTAGACTGGCAAACCTGCAGCAGGACAGAGCACCGTAACTGGGTCTGTCTTTTGTTTTCTATTTTCAGTTTTATGGGAAGTATATGTTTTATTTTATGGGGAATGCACTTTCATAGGTGTTTTCATACTTTAAAAAAAAAAAAATTCTAGAAATTTTATGGAAAACATTTCACTACTGCAAAGAAGCCTCTTTTTGAATCGAAACACCTAAATCAACAGTGCAGAATTCCAAACGTTACTCAGCTGATATAAGCCACCTCTGTCTTCTAATTCTGCAGCATATTAAGAGAAAAAAAAAATCCATTTATATAGCTAGTGATTTAGACTATCGGGCTTGTGTGTGGCGTTTTTAGATTTACCTTTGTGACGGTAATGAAGTCCGTTCCAAAAAATACGCTTTTAACCCCTTCGATCCGAAAGAGCTGCCTAACCAGGAAAGAAAAATAATAATGATCACCCTCGAAACTGCTCACCGAAATCCTATTTCTCCCTGTTGGTTCACACATTCACATTTGTGACTGCAGTTTCTAGGACGCTCTTACCCTAAATCCTAACTTCTTAAAATTCTTTAGCATCGTCCTTCCAAGAAACACGGGTGGAGTTTTGAACACATCACAGCCAATCAACTCCTTCTGCCTTATAGTTCATCCAGAACCTGTGCTAGTAGCAAGGTCTCCTAAGCTAAAACAAAACCTTGTAAATAGAGACCGGTCTTATTGTGAGGGCCGTCAGTCTTGGATAAGCAACTAGCAACTATCCTGAGAATGAACAGCCAAGCAAGCCAACTGTGTGTGGGGGGGGTTAAGTTGGAAGACTGATTCATAAACCTTCCACACGCCTGATAATTATGCAAATGGGCTTTGCATCCAGGACTGTGATAATTGTATACAGGGAGAAAGTACATATTAAGGCTGAAGCTGCGTTGCATGACATCCCCTCTCTCTCTCTCCCTCCCTCCTTTGGCTCAACCACACATCCCTTAGGACGGGGGTCTCCAACCTTGGCCACTTTTAAGACTTGTGGACTTCAACTCCCAGCTTTGCTGGCTGAGGAACTCTGGGAGTTGAAGTCCACAAGTGTTAAACGTTGCCAAGGCTGGAGACCCCTGCCATAGGAGATTAATTTTTTCATCCAAAGAAGGGCTGGGCGGAAAAAAACTCATTTGGTATAATCCTCAGTCATATGGAAAAGGCCGGAGCATAAATAGGAACTAAAAATCAAACCAAAAATTGCCTATCCCCCAAGATTTCAAAAAGAAGCTGCCCTTATTTCTCTCTGAGGTTTATGTTAAATCACAATCCATTTCTTAAAAGTGAACTGAAAATTGAAAAGGGAGAGATGAGAATTCCCCTTCTCTGATTCCCACCCCTTTACAAGAATAGATGACATGGGCTAAAATACCCTCCAATTTTAGTGCCTCCAACAGGGTATCTTTGCCCCAACCAGGGGTCTGACTGGGGCTTATTTCCAAATAACATCACACGATGTGCCACCTCCCCACCCCTCTCCAAACCTTGCTAATGGAGAGCAGTAGGTGGAAGCTGGAGACAGGAATTCCATCGTTCTGGATTCCAGGACTGGTTTCCCTGGAATAAATTTTAAGCTGTTTGGATTTGGAGTGTCCTGTGTCTGAATAAAGAGAGACCTCGCTAAAATTAAGGGAGAAAAAAAATAAAATAAATTATTTTGAAACACGGTCATTTGCCTTGCCTGGATCAGAGGAAGCTAGCTTCACTGACTCTTTCTGTTCTCTGCCCACCAGGAAGCAAACACATCTGTCCATCATACAAAAATGAATTTTTTCTAACTTGGTGAGAAATTAGGCAGGTGGAACTGAAACTTGTTTAAATGTTTTGATCATGAATACACTTTAGAAAAGAATAAGCATTTTCATCCCACAGAACTGAAAATGCACAAACGAAACACCCACCTGACATCTGTGGCACTGCAGGAAACAGGAAAGTCTTGTGTGGTGTAACAAAACGGTATTGTTGTTTAATTGATACATTCGTACTCTTTAATCCCAAATGACAAAAGCTGAATGGAGAAAAAAAACACAGCTAAGAATGCCATAGGTTGATTCCTAAGACAGTTTAATGGCATTTCCCATACTTAGACCCAAACAGTAATGACTGAGGATTTTCATTAAAAGCTGAAAGCTTCCAGATTTAGAGCTTGTGTTTTGATTCGAAGCAAGGAAGAATAAATATTTCAATAAACAACACCACTGAGAGGTGAGGAAATCTGGGGACCTATTAAAAAATTGATAGCTGGGGAAAAAAATTAAAATTCTAGCAATTTTTGCTCTCTCCTTTCTCCTTTCCATTTTTTCTCTGTTTGTAAACAGATGTTGAACACGCGGTGGGTCGTATTTGTTTGCATGCAACGTTACAGAAACAGGTAAGTTAATAGCCTAAAGGAGAAATCTTTCAGAAGAAAATATGGCATTTTTGTGCTATACTTATGATTACACTCAGCTTAGCGCTACATGGGCGAATCCAGTTTTCTGCTTTGCAAGCTAAGAAGCCAAAATGTTGTGCCTCCAGTCATGTATAGGCAAGATGAGGCTGGGAGATTCTGGGAACTGAAGCCCACACATTTTAAAGTTATTGAGTTGAGAAACACGGCATAACATGTTTGCATTACAGTCCAGGCAGCCTAGATATCAGCAAGACTGTCTAGGAAAAACAAAATGAAATATATATCTAACAAAATGAAATAAGCACCTGGCATCTGGAATACGAGCATCTTGTATTTCTCGATGACAAAACTATACAGCAGATTAAAGCTCTGGAAAGGTTCTAGGGGACACGTCTCTGTTCATGTCATTCCTTGCCCTTCCTTGTTGTTTGGTTTTAAGCGGGCCTTTTATTATTAATAATATTAATACGATCAGTGGGAAACTAGGATGCTTCAAAGAAAAATGCTAGTTTTCAGCGCCATCCTTCTTTCTGTCATTGCCTTGGAAGTCGGACCTGGGCAACAATCCAGATCCAGAGAGAAAAAGGTGGCTCAGAGCACAGCTGGCTACACACTTCCTCCCTTCAGCAGCGCCATAAATCAACTGTGTGGGTTAAGACATGGCTCAGACTTGAAGGGGTCCCCAAACTCGGCAACTGAAAAGACTTGTGGACTTCAACTCGCAGAATTCTCCAGCCGTGCCCAAGTCCAGACTTGTGGACTTCAAGCTGGCTGGAGAATTCTGGGAGTTGAAGTCCACCAGTCTTTTCAGTTGCCAAGTTTGGAGACCTCTGGCTCAGAGGTTTGGCCTTTGCATTCCTGCATGCTCCAGATCCAGACGCCTGCTCAGCCCCATTCAAAATCCTCACCCCCACAGAAGCTGTGAGACCCTTGGAGAATGACGGTGTGATGCTGGGGTCCCTAAACACCTGTGGGAGACCATGAGGAAGGAAGTCTGTAATTCTGTCCCGCAAAGGGCAAAAACGGGGACAAGCTCACTGCAGGGGAAGGGGAAGAGACGGAGACCTAGAAGTGCCAAAACTCCAGCCAAAAGGACCTGCCAAGGTTGCCCTCTCTTCCCTCCTTCCTGCCCTTTGGGGGAGGGAGAGGGTCTCCAAACGTGGCCATTGAAAAGCTTGTGGACTTCAACTCCCAGATTCCCTCAGCCAGCTGGAAGTCCACAAGTGTGGAATTGGGCAGGTCTCGATGGATGAAAAGAAGGACGCGGGGTGATAACAGGAGCAGCGTTTCAATACTTGAGGGGCTGCCCCAAAGAAGAAGCCTTGAAGGCAGGACAAGACGCAACGGATGGAAACTCATCAAAGAGAGAAGCAACCTGGAATTAAGGAGAAATTTATTGACAGGGAGGACAACGAATCCAAAGAACAGCTTGCCTTTAGAAGCTGTAAATGCGCCAACACTGGGAAATTCTTAAGAAGAGACTGGATGGCCATTTGTCTGAAATAGTAGAGAGTTTCCTGCTTAAGTAGGGGTTGGACTAGAAGACCTCCAAGGTCCCTTCCAACTTGTTTCCAACTTCCAACCGGTTGCAGAAAATACAACTTCAGCAACAGAGCGGTCAACCTGACTCTGTTGTTACATCCTCAACCCCCCACAAAGCTTTAACCTTCTAAACTGTCTACCGTGGACCTCACTCCATTCCTAAGAGGTCTGTCTGTAAGAATAGAATAGAATTCTTTATTGGCCAAGTGTGATTGGACACACACAAGGAATCTGTCTTTGGTGCGTAAGCTCTCTCATAAGAAAAAATAAAATACATTCATCAAGAATTATAAGATACAACACTTAAAGATAGTCATAGGTTACTAATGAGCAATCAAATCATACTAGGAAACAGTCAATAAAAACCATAAGTATACAAGTGACAAAGTTTCAGTCATACAGTCCCAAGTGGAAGGGGATGGGTGATAAGGAGTGATGACAAGATTTAGCAGTAATAGTAGCGCAGACTTTGTAAATAGTTGGACAGTGTTGAGGGAATTATTTGTTTAGCAGAGGGATGGCATTTGGGGGGAAAAAACTGTCCTTGGGTTCTGGTGTGCAGTGCCCTATAGCGTTGTTTAGAGGGAAGGAGCTGAAACAGTTTATGTCCAGGATGTGAGGGGTCTGTAGATATTTTCCCAGCCCCCTTTTTGACTCGTGCAGGATCCAGGTCCTCCATGGAAGGCAGGTTGGTAACCATTGTTTCTTCTGCAGTCCTAATTCCTCTCTGGAGTCTGTCTCTCTCTTGTTGGGTTGCAGAGCCAAAGTAAGTGGGGGGGTGGTGCATAAGCGCACCAGCGTGCCTACGGTCCCTGCCCTACGGTTCCCATTTATTCCCTTACTCATTTACTATGTCTATACTTATACCCATTTATATGTTATGTTTATATGTTA